CACCCCTCACCCCTCTGTCTTCCCCCCAGGGTCACCGAGTTCCTGCCGCCCTTTCAGCGCGTGCTGCAGCCCGAGGAGATGTGGCTCTATAAAAACCCGTACGTGGAGGTGGATCGCGTCCCCACAGCGCTCATGTTTGTAAGTTCTCGGTGTGGTTTGGGTGGGAAGGGGATGGAAAGAGCATCTTGTCTCCCCACGCACGCGATGGGGGATGTCTCTCTCCCCCAGACCAGGTTTCTCCAAGCCCCACCCAAGCTGGCTGCGAGCAATTCCAGGGATGGAGCAGCGTTTCCTGCAGTTCCTTTGGGTTTTTCTCTCGTTATAGTCTCGCCCTTTTCAGGCAGCAGCTTTGCTTTAGGCTTGTACCGCAATATCTGCAGCTCCTAACGCTGTTGCTGAAAGCGCAGGATATTGTATCCGTGTGGATAGGCAGCTGAAGGGAGGGAGGAGTGGGAGGATGGAACAGGGCTCTGCTCCATGGGGTGAGGCACAAGCTGGAACAGGGGCAGTCCCACCTGAACCCGAGGCAGAACTTTTGCTGTGTCAGTGACTAAAGAGGTTTGGGATTTGAAGTTGATAAACTAGTGGGGACTTTGCAGTGCTGTCCATTATCCGTTCCTCGTCCAGATTGCCAGGAGCACAGAAGATAGCATAGCTCTCACTACCAGGGAGTGTTTTCCTTGCAGCTGTTTTCAGCAGAGCTTTATTATAATTTTGTTGTGAAATGCCTTCCCGAGGGCTCCAGGCTCTGTGACCAGGGTTTAACGTAACCCTGCGTTGTATTTCCAGGGGACAGCAGTGTGTCAGAGGTGTTCTCTCCCTCTGGAGCAGGTGTAACGTGAGGGGCTGTGGCTCCTGGGCTTCCACTTTCCTGGCAAATGGCACTTGGGATTTCTGCAGGAGGTGGGCACTGGACATTAAGGACCAAACCTCAGGGTAGCATTCGAAATTGGTGGTGTAAAGCATAACATATGCTGGAATTCAGGTGGGAGCAGACTTCTTGGGAGCTGGCAGCCACACTGGATGTCCTGGGGCAATATCCCCCAGCGCAGTTGTGGCTAAGATGGGAATGATAACAACTGGCTGCTCTGACTCAGCAGCTCTGGTGGTTTTGCTGACAGTAGTGTGGTTGCTGCTGACAGAGCACTAATGCTGGGGCTTGCAGGAAGGGGAGAGCTGAGGTGCTGTGCCTGGGGACACCCCTAATAATCAGCCAGAGCAGTGCTCTGTGCCAGAGGAGCTGCCTGAGAGTCTAAGGATATGCTGGGCTGATCAAGGCCTGCTGCAAATCCCGCTGGGGAGTTGTGTTCTGATGGAAGAGCAGGGTTTGGAGAGGGCAGGTGCTGCTTGGCTGTGGGGAAGGGAAGTGTACGGACAGTCTTCCCAAGCAACTGCTGTTGTGTTCTGGTGCGAGCTTAAATATGCTTTGCTGACACCTAAAAATCTTGTTTCGTGCAGTTCATTGCGTTTCTGTCTCCCTTGCTGCTCATCGTCCTGGGGAGGCTGTTCATGAACGCTGACCGCGAGGACACGCGGGACGCCTGCCTGGGTGAGCTCCTTGTCCCAGAGTGGCAGTGCCAGCCCTGCCCATGCCCGAATGCCCCTCGAAGCTGCACTCTCAGGTGGGGATGATGCTGATGTGACCTCTCTGCTCTCTCCCAGCCGCCAGCCTCGCTCTTGCCCTGAATGGAGTTTTTACAAACGTTCTGAAGCTCGCTGTGGGGAGGTGAGAGTCCCAGCTCTGCAGGGAGGCAGGTCTGTACCGTGGCAGAGCTGCAATAGCCAGAGCAGAAGCTGGACATGCTCAGCCTGGAAAGAATAGTTTTTTGTCTAGCTGTAAAGACAATTCAGCGTTAGAACAAACTGGTGGAGACCTGCTGTCTCTGGACGTGGTTCAGATGGGCTCGTTCAGGCCTGCGCCAGGGAGGAGTGGATGTGGGTGCTCTGTGGGTGCTGAGAGTGCCCACACCTGAGGGCTCTGTGCTTCGCTCTCTGCCCCAGGCCACGGCCTGACTTCTTCTACCGTTGCTTCCCGGATGGCCGAGCCAACTCGGAGCTGGTGTGCACGGGCGACTCCCGCAAGGTGACCGAGGGGCGCAAAAGCTTCCCCAGTGGACACGCTTCTTGTGAGTTTTCCGTGTCCCCCTCCTGCTGCAGCCTTGGGCAGTGAGCTATGATGAGCAGGACTCGTGGGGACGACAACTTGGGTTTGCTTTCATGCACCCCACAGTTTTGGCTGCATTCATTGACTTGGTCAGTGCCTCAAGTTCCCTCTGCAAAGCAGTGTGGGGAGAAATATGGTCAGAAGCTGTGTAACCCCAGGAGGAGGGATGTGTGCCAGGTTCCAGCTTCTACAATCCATCACTCTCAAGCCAGCGCTTCCCTTGGCTCACACAGGCAGGACAGAGTCTCCTTGCAGCCCTTCCACCACAGTGGGGAGAGGGTGAGGGTCTGGCTGAGGGTGCTCAGCTGAGCCTGGGGCTGTTCTGAACTGACACTGTTCTGTTCTGTTCCAGTTGCCTTTGCTGGTCTTGCCTTCTCTGCCTTGTACCTCGCGGGGAAGCTGCACAGCTTCGTTCCAGGCCGAGGGTGCCGAGCCATGCGCCTCTGTGCCTTCCTCCTCCCACTCTTCCTCGCCACCCTCATCGCCCTGTCCCGCACCTGTGACTACAAGCACCACTGGCAAGGTGGGTTAGTGTCTGCGTGCACACCTGGATGGGACAGAGGTGGTCAGAGCCCACGACAGCAATTCGGGGATCTTTCTTACCTCTCCAAGTGGTAGTTTCAGTGCCTCCTGCAGGGTGTTGATGCCTTTCTCTGTGTTTTTGAAGTACATACGAGCTTGGTTTTACGGTCAAGGAGCAGGTCATGGATCCAGCCGAAAAGCTGCTGCTGGAGAATTCCATCGTGAGGCTTGGGAAGGTGAAGGGACTTTAACTGTCCTCTGTTCTCACCCACAGATGTGTTGGTTGGCTCCATGATGGGCTTGGTGCTTGCATACCTGTGCTACAGACAGTACTACCCTCCCCTGACAGACTCCATGTGCCACAAACCATCTCTGTCCAAGCCCAAACCGCTGCCAGAGCACGAGAAGCCTCCAGCTTCCAGCTTCCACCTGAACATATAGCCACAGGCTCTGTCCTGAGGGGATGCCAGGGCAGGGCAAGGCTTTGGGTCAGGAGGAGGGCTCCTAGAGGGATGAACCTGACCCCTGGGCAGGGTCCCTGCAGTGCTGGTGAGTTTCCTGCCCAGGGACTTGTGTTGCTTCGTTTAATCCAGTTTTATAGGCTTTCCCCACTTCGGGCCCACTGTGAAGTGAGGGAGGCACTTGGGGTGCCAACCTGCAGGAAGACAGCCTGGGTGTGCAGGTCCTGAAGCAAGACCTGGAAAAATGTGACAATCCAGTGTGCCCAGTTTGGTGGCTGTTCTTGGGTCCAGTCCAGGAAGCACCATCAGTTGTCTCTCTGCAATCCAGCCGAGCTGTCCCAGCCCTTCTCCTGGGAAATGAAGTGCAGGACCTGCCAGTCTTGAGTTTTTTCTAAGCTGCCAAATAAAGGGGTTTAGTTTTTTTAATGAGCTGTGGTACTGAAACTTAGTTCAACTTGTGGGTTGTCACCGTTTAAGCCATTTCCTCTGGTGTCTGCAGTGGTTTCTGGTGGGTACTCATTTTGTACCTCTTTGCTTGCAGCTTTAATTTGGTTGTAAGGGGATGACAGCAGAAAATGAAGTGCTGCCTGAGAGCATCCCTGCACAGGTGTTGATTTCCCTGCACACACTGTGTCTCAGGCAAGGCAGGGCACTCTGCTGCTGAGATCCAGGGCCAGCTGCCTGGCAGGACTGCGTGAGTGGTTCTTCATACTGGTCCCTCCATATTCAGGTGTAGTTTTGATTGTCTGTGCATGCAAACAGCACAGCTGAGGCTGTAGCAGAGTGAGGCAGATGAGCCTCTGCCAAGCTCAGGCCATGTCAGTAATGAAACACCAGCCCATTATCTGCAGTTTGGGCCCTCTATGGCCCTGCAGCTTTAGTAGAATTACAGAAACAGCTTTACTTTCCCCTAAACTACCCATGAATTCTTCAGCTCCTCCCTCTCCCCCAGACATGCACACACCACAGTAATCTACTTATTTATTTTGGCTTTTACTGGAAAAGACATTAAATAACATTTAAAATGTATTTATCTTCTTTTTTTAACAAAGTGCATAACTTAAAAAGCTGATCATTACTGTCCTGTGTTAAGACTGTTCCTTTTCCTACTCGTGTAGGAGACTTTAGCCAGCAGTAGTTCAGGTGCTGACAGAGCAGCTCAGCTGTTCCTGCAGTGAGGTTAAGAACAGCTTCTGTTCCTTGGGCTGGGAGGAGGGATGGAGGCTGCAAACAAAACCCTTCCAATAGTGCAAATAACAGACAATGCAGGAAAAACAAACCAAAGGGCTGTGGGGAAAAGGCTCCTTACCCCCCAAGCAGGGCAAAAGTCAGCGGGAAAGAAAGTGGTTTGGCTCTTCCAAAGGCTGCACAGCAACACCTCAAATAGCACTGGAGCCCCAGCCCGGGCACTGAGCCAGCCTGGGGGGGTTTGGTGATCAGGGAGGAATCACAGGGACTCTTTGGCCATGTACCCCTCGGAACAGAGCTCCAAGGCAGCTGCAGACTGAGCTGCTTGCAGAGCTGGTGTCATTCCTGCAGTATCCAGACCCTATGGATCTGGGCTCCAACTTTGCTGGCTGCATTTTGCATATTTAAAGCTAAAAACAACTGGAGCATTGCTCTGGCACAAGATCCCTGTCACCACCTGACAGCCCCGCGGCAGCAGGACAGCAGTGCTGCTCTGCGCCCCTGCAGAGCACAGAGGGCTGTCCCAGGCCTCCACACTGCCCAGGAGCAGCTGCTGGCTCCCAGCCTGGCTGGACTTCGATGTGGAGGTGAAGCTTTCCTCGTGGAGGTACAGCTGGGCACTGGCTTGGTCAGTGCTGGGGGGAGGCCCTTGGTTTGCCAAGCTGGGCCGGGTGAGGATGCTGAGATGTCACTACCAACGCACCACAGCAGGTAGGAGCACAAACATGCCGCTCTCACAAGGTGTTTTATGGGGCAGCCCTGCCTGGCACGGCCCAGGGCTGCATGAACATGCAGCAGCAGTGCAGGGAGATGAGTGTGGCTGATGGGCAGATCCTGCTGGCTCAGCAGCAGCCTGTGCCCTGGGCTTTGCCTCCCGGTCCCACACTCCTGGCGCTGGGTGCTCTGTTAGCAGTCAGCAATCTCCCTCACTCCAAGGCTGCTGGAGCTCTCTCCATGCTATGTTTAAGGCTTTTTCTCCTCAAGGTCCCAGGCTGCAAGTGTCCTGGCTGAGCCAGGAGCAGGGTCAGCCCCTTGGTAGGTTCTGAGCCCAGACAGCTTTGCTGCGGTGCTGGAGGAGCTGGTGTGGGGACTCACGGGGTGGAGGGTTAGTAGTACACGGTGCCACAGGGAGTCACTGTGCAGGTGCTATGTGTGCTCGAGCAGACGTGTTTCCCCTTGATAGTTTTTCCCTCCCCACCCCTACGCAAAATGGAAGAAAATCCATCCTTATCTCCAGGTAGCAGCAAGTACTTGGGAAGCAGCATGCAGGACACGGCAGCAGAGGAGAAAGGAAGGCAGATAAGAGATCTGGACTTTCCTGGTGAGTAGAATTGGATCTAAGAAAGCAAAAGGAACACAGAAATAGCTGCAGTGGGGCAGACCAGGACCTGCCCAGCACAGCCTCCCAGACCCTCCATGGTTCTCCCCTCATGTCTGATTGTGCTCATGTGCAGGGAACAGGACAGAAGCCAAAGGTGCTGACAGGCCAAATTAAAAACCTGACACAAGCTCCATGCCTCAGATGAGGAATACTATTCTTGCAAATGAGTCAGATCTCCTCTGAGGTGTCCTAGGCAAAAGTGACTTACGTCAAGTGACCAGAATAGCACAGGTTGGTCACTGGCTTCCTGGCAAAGGTTGATCCAGTGTGATGCCTTTTGTCTGATAGATCTCCTTCAGAACCAGCAGAACGGTGTCTTCTGACTCCCTGGAAAAAGGAGGACATGGGGATTAGAGGGGCACAATTCCCTGTGCTCTGTCAAGACATCTGTGATGGTTTTGGGGTAGGTGTGCTGCTCTGCAGATGCAGGTTTTGGGGTAGACGTGATGCTCCCCAGGCAGCACGTGTGTCACAGTCAGGAGAAGGTCTTGTTTACTCAGGTAACACTTGTCTGATCATGCTGGCTTTGAAACTGATGCCATTCTGCTTCCATCACAAATGAATTTGAAGCTCCAATGATTACGCAGGCACTTACCAATAGCAGAGATGCCCCTGGAGAGCAAACAAATACTCGTTAAAGCTCTCGATTGGCTTCTCCTGCAGCACGTAGTCAATGCGGTTCCCTCTGTTCAGCCTCCCCACATTAATGAGGGAGGCCTCTTCCTTCACTGCTCCAGGGGTCTCCTCTGCCTTTGTGTCTGAAGGGAAGAAGAGAGGGAGTGTGGTTCAGCCACGGGGCACCAGCAGCCACAACAATACGATAGCTGGGCACGGAGTGACTCCGGGACGGGCAGTTTGTGGTGTGGCTGCAAGGAGCTCGGGCACACTGACCCATGGGCAGCTCCGAGGCTGCATCCCTGGCTTGTCCCCACCCATGCCCATCCCCACCACTGACCTGGCTGCTTCTCTGTGCTGGCCTCTGCCTCCACTTCAGCATCGGTGCTCGCTGCCTCCAGAGCTGGCACCGGGGCGCGGGTGAAGGACTGCCAGGCCACCCGCAGTGACCCCAGCAAGTTGTTCTTCAGGTCCACACTCATGCGTGTCAGCCCTTCCTTCAGCTCTGCAAGGCAGGAGGTGGGTGGGTGTGAGGCTGGGGGCTGCAGTGGGCCTGGGACAGGGGACAGGGGCTGCCTGTGTCATACCAAGGTGCATCCTCTTCCTGCCCTTGTGGTGAGGCAGCAGCATGGGCTCAAACTCCAGGTCTGGGACGATCATGGGCTCAATCCGGTATGCCACGGGGTCAAACTGCACAGGGGAGGGGGATAGTGAGCCAGGGCTCATGCTCCACATGTCTAATGTAGGATGGCTCTGGTTCCTATACCTACAGGGTGGAAGATGTTGAAGAAGCCTTTGCAGGTGGGCAGGCTGTAGTTCGGGTCGATCCGCTTCACTCCTCGCACCGTGAGAAACATCCCGATGGGAGACCCAAAGGCGAAGAAGATGGTAGGCTTGTAATTCAGCTGGGGGTAGTTTGCTGAGACCTGGGGGAGAGGGAGGTTCAGTTTGTTCATGAGACAACTCCATGCTGGTGCTAGCCTTGTGGTTGCAGTCAGAGCTCGGTAGTCACCTGTCCCAAGACAATGTCCCGATACTGGCAATTCCTGCCATCGTCTGTGCTCTCTGGATCATGCTGTGATGGGGACACGGGCTCGGCTCCATGCTCCTCACTGTTCTCAGGGGCTGCTGAGCTCTGATCCTGCAGCAACACAAATGTGTCCTTGTGGGAGAGGGATGGGATGTGATAGGATGTGACAGGATGAGCACAAGCTCTGCTGAAAACAAACCTGTGTGTCTGCCTTGGAGCTGGTGTAATGGAGTATCTTCATTCTTGGTCCTAAGGGAATTCCCAGTTCTTTAAGGTTTTCCTCTGTGCACAAGAACTGGAAAAGAAGCAACACGGGTGTTAGTCGAGGAGCAGAGGTGTAGTGAGGTGTCTGTGCTCTGGGATTCAGTTCCTCCTCAGTGACAAATCACGTATGAGCATCTTAGTACCAGAAGAAGTGCAATGGTGAGAGGACTGGGAAGAAAAGCAGA